ATTCCTGGCAGCTGGGGGGAGAGCTGGGGCTGCCTATCCCCATCCAGGACGGGCTGGTGAGGATGCAGCCCCATAGTCCATATAAAAAATCCATTAATGCCACATGAGGAGCTCTAGTTTTGTTGTGGTTTGGTTGCTTCATGGTGTGAAGGAAGATAAAGAAGATATTTTACTGGTGAGAATGGGAGGAGAAGGCCGGGATTCCTGGCAGCTGGGGGGAGAGCTGGGGCTGCCTATCCCCATCCAGGACGGGCTGGTGAGGATGCAGCCCCATAGTCCATATAAAAAATCCATTAATGCCACATGAGGAGCTCTAGTTTTGTTGTGGTTTGGTTGCTTCATGGTGTGAAGGAAGATAAAGAAGATATTTTACTGGTGAGAATGGGAGGAGAAGGCCGGGTCTCTTGTAATGGGGATAGGAGTGCATTTGAGCAATAGCAGGCTGGCATGGGAAGCAGGATGGGGCACTAACGTTCAGGCTTCAGTGTCTTACTCTCTGCAACTTTCTGTCGGAGTTTGGAGACCCGTGACCCTGTCCTCCCCAAGTGAACGCCCTACCCCCTAGGCCAGGACAGAAGCTGCCCCACCACCTCACTTTCACTGGGGCTCCGGTTCCCCATTCAGTAGAAGCTGGGTGCCTAAATCTGTGGAGAATCCCAGCCCACTTGTTGACTTTTAAATTGCAGCAAGGGGAGGGTGGAGGTTGGGTTGGACCCTACGAACAACCTCCAATGGTCAGGGTGGTGAAACACTGGAATAAATTGCCTCAGGAGGTTGTGGAACCCCCATTTCTGGAGATATTTCAGAGCAGGTTAGATAGATTCCTGTCGGGGATGATCTAGATGGTGCATGGTCCTACTGGGAGGGCAGAAGACTGGACTTGATGACCTCTCAAGGTCCCTCTAGCCCAGTGTTCCCTGCTCCTTGTGAGGTAAGACCTCAGAATCCTTGAATTCCAGGGCTGGCAGAGCCCTCAGGAGTCAGCGAGTCCATCCCCCTGCCCAGGGCAGGAGCAAGTCCAACTCAATCATCCCAGCCAGGGCTTTGTTAATCCGGGACTTCAGAATCTCTAGGGATGGCGATTCCATCTCCTCCTTAGGGAACCCATCCCAGGGCTTCCCCACCCTCCTAGGGAAATAGATTTTCCTAATATCCAACCTAGACCTCCCCCCCCCCACAACTTGAGACTCTTGCTCCTCGTTCTGCCATCTGTCAATATTGAGAACAGCCTCTCTCCATCCTCTTTGGACCCTCTGCAGGTAGTTGAACGGTGCTCTCAATCCCCGGTGTCCATCCAGCCTTCTCTCTCCCTCACGTTCCCCATACTGCACCCATTTATAATGCACCCTGCAGCCACGGAGGATGTGGTGGGGCTATGGGACAGGACTGGGAGCTGCAGAAAACGTGAGCTCAGGCCCAGGATAGGAACAGACGAGGGGTGCAGACAGAGCCCCAGGGTGTATTTGAGGGGGGCATGGATGGGGTGGCAGAGATGTAGGTTGGGATTGATGCTTAGTAGCAGAGCAGTTCAGGGGAAGCCAGGAGTGGATAGGGGAAGGGGAACGGGCTGATGAGGATTGAAGGTCAAAGGTGGATTATTGGGGGCGCAGGGCCAATAGCCCATCTTATTCCATCTTCAGCAGCCCTTGGTGGGACCAGTCCTATTCAACATATTCAGAAATGATCTGGAGAAAGGGTTAAACTGGGGAGGGGGGTGTGACAAAACGTGAAGATGATACGATACGCCTCAAGATAGTGAAATCCCAGGCAGGGTCTGAAAAAGCTACCCGTGTAATGGGTCATGTGAGATATTCTTCGAAAGGGTATAACATTCTGAATATGATTCTATGCTTTGGATACATCTATCATTTTTGTTTCCGAAGTTAAAACTATTGTATTTGTGGCTAGTACAAATATGGTTACCCCTCTTTGGGTCATCTAGTCATTTACTGTCCGCCGGGGTCATGATGGAATGAAGTTTAAGAAGCCCTGCTCTGTATCTATCCCTTGAAATATGGGCTACTTATCTCAACAAGGTGATGCAACAGGTATTAGCTGAGACACCCATTTTGCAGACACCCATTTTGTATCCGCTTGAAAGTTTGAGTCCCCCACTCGCAGAAAGAATAGAAGTTATTATCTAATCCACCTTGTCTTTCTAATATCCGGGGTCCATCACAACCACATCAGCGTAGGACATATTGGCTGTGTCTAGACTGGCAATTTTTTCCGCAAAATCAGATGTTTGAATTTCCACAAGAACACTGACGATCTCATGTAAGATCGTCAGTGCTCTTGCGGAAATACTGTGCTGCTCCCGTTCGGGCAAAAGCCCTCTTGCATAAATCATTTGCGCAAGAGGGCCAGTGGAAACAGCACAGTACTGTTTTGCGAAAAAAAGCCCCGCTGGCTAAAATGGCGATCGGGGCTTTTTTGCGCAAAACCACGTCTAGATTGGCCACGGATGCTTTTCCGAAAAAATTGCTTTTGCGGAAAAGCGTCCTGCCAATCTAGACGCGATTTTCCGAAAATGCTTTTAACAGAAAAGTTTTCCATTAAAAGCATTTCTGGAAAATCATGCCAGGGTAGACGTAGCCATTTTGACTCTTTCTAGATCAACATTTTCAGAATTCAGGTTCTAATTCACACATTTTTTCTGTTGTTCAGATTTCTGTTGTTTTGGTAAAAAGTTAAAACCTGCCCCACCCCTGTGCTCACACACACACACATACACACACACACACATACACACACCTGTTATATTCTGTTTTTCTGTATCAGGGCCCACTCAGACTCTCCTTCTTTCATAACCAAAACAGGGTCGATTGGTCCTTGTTTTATTCAGGTAATCTTTATGAAGGCCATACACTTCCTGCCCATATTTTGCAGGGCTTCCTTGACCTCTCTGTTTCTCAGACTGTAGATGAGCGGATTAGCCAGCGGAGTCAGAACCGTGTAGATGACCGAGAACACTTTGTTGAGGGCTTTCAGCGTGTTGGATTTCGGTAGCATGTAGACGATCATGATGGTCCCATAGAAAAGTGCTACAATGATGAGGTGGGAGGAGCAGGTGGAAAAGGTCTTCTGCCTCCCGGTGGAGGATGGGATTCTCAGGATGGTGTTGATGACACAAACATAGGAAGTCACGGTTAATAGAAATGGGGAAACTGCATCGAGGAAGGAAAATACATAAAGCACCAGCGTGAGAAGGCTGGTGTCGCTACAGGAGAGCTTTAGCATCGGCGCGTAGTCGCAAAAGAAGTGGTCCATTTCATTGGAACCACAAAAAACCAACTGTGACATGAAAGACATCATTAGTGTACACGGGAGAAAGCCACTTATCCAACACCCGGCTGCTAGCTGGAGACACAGCCGGCCATTCATGCGGGTTCCATAGTGCAGCGGTTTGCATATGGCTAAATACCGATCGTAAGCCATGGCAGCCAGGAGGTAACACTCTGTGGTTGCAAGAAAACAAAAGAAAAAGAACTGGGTCATGCAGCCCACCACAGAGATGGTTCTGTTCCCTGTCAGGAGCCCGGCCAGCAGCCGGGGCAGGATGGCGGAGCTGTAGCAGCTCTCCAAAAAGGACAGGTTGCCCAGGAAGAAGTACATGGGGGTGTGAAGGTGTTGATCAGTCATAACTAACGCAATGATGAGGAGGTTCCCAGCCATGGTCACAATGTAGATCGCTAGGAGAACCAGGAAGAGAAGGATGGGCAATGCAGGGAGATCCCCAAACCCCAGCAGGATGAATTCGGTGACCGTTGTTTGGTTTCCTCCTTCCTCCATCTCCATGAGCTGTATCATGAGACAATGGAAAGAGTAATGAGCAGTGAAAGATTTGGCGGCACCATGACATTAGACAGATTTCCTGAACTGATTTTTTCGACAAAGAAAAGGCAGTAGGTGTCATCTGCCTGGATTTCATCTGACCATAAGAATTGACACATTGGGTCAGACCAATGGTCCATCCAGCCCAGTATCGTGTCTGCCGACAGTGGCCAATACCAGATGCCCCAGAGGGATGGATCACAACAGGGAATCCTCACACGATCCCTTCCCTGTCACCCACCTCCAGAGAAACAGAGGCTAGGGACACCATTCCTACCCATCCTGGCTAATAGCCATTGATGGACTGAACTGCCTTGAATCTAACTAGCTCTTTTTTGAACCCTGTTAAAGTCCTGGCCTTCACCGCATCCTCTGGCAAGGAGTTCCACAGGTGGACTATGCACTGAGGAAAGAAAAACTTCCTTTTGTTTGTTTGAAACCTGCTGCCTATTAATTTCATGTGGTGATCCCTAGTTCTTATTTTGTGGGAATAAGTAAATAACTTCTCCTTATTCACTTTTTCCACATCAGTCATGATTTTATAAACCTTTATCATATCCCCCCTTAGGGATTCCGATTTAAAGCCCTAACTCTAATTAGCTGGTATTCCTCCTGCAATGAGGTTTACCAGCTAATTCGATTTAGGGGCTTTAAATTGGAATCCCATTTCACTGCCGCATGTAGATGCGGGCAGTTACTTTGGACTTCTCTTTAAACTCTGTTCTAGTTCTAGCCCTCACAGCCTCCTGCAGCAAGGAGTTCCACAGGTTGACTATTTGCTTTGTGAAGAACAACTTTCTCTTACTAGTTTGAAGCCTGCTACCCATTCCTTTCCTTTGGTGTCCTCTAGTCCTTCTATTATGGGAACTAATGAAGAACTTTTCTGTATGCACACTCCCCACCCCACTCATGCTTTTAGAGACCTCTATCCTATCCCCCCTCCGTCTCCTCTTTTCTAAGCTGAAAAGTCCCAGTCTCTTTAGCCTCTCTTCATATGGGACCTGTTCCAAACCCCTGATCATTGTAGTTGCCCTCCCCTCTCCCACCCTCTCTCTTCCCCTCTCCCACCTTCTTTTCCCAGTCTCCCCGAGTTTTGTTCAATAAAGAGAGATTCTATTTTTGAACACACGTGTCCTTTATTTTGTACATCAGGAAGGGGGGCTAGGAAGGGGTAAGTGGAAGGAGGTGAGGGAGGAATGGGGTATGAGCTCCCGATGGGGAGGACTGGGCTGGCTCTGCGGGCTTCTGGGGGTGGAACCTCTCCTGCAGCCCCCCAATTGCCCCCTCTCCCCAGATGGCAGCCTGCGGCAAGTGCAGACAGTCTGATGGCCGAGTGCTGTTATGTGCCCAGTGTGGGTACTCCGGGCAATCCAAGCCAGGACTGCTTTGCAAGCGGGGCACCCCTGAGAACTGTCTGTCCGGGGTGGGGGTCGGGGTCCCTTTAAGCACAGCCCTCGGCTAGCCTGAGACAGCAGCTCCATACTCTAAGTCCTCATCTGATGCCCTGCCAGCACTGCTTCCGGCCATCCTTAACCCTGGCTAAGGGTCCACTTAATGTGGACATGCTAGTTCAAATTAGCAAAATGCTAATTCGAACTAGTTTTTTAGTCTGGATGCGTTAGTTTGAATTAGCTTAGTTCGAATTAACTAATTCGAACTAAGTTAGTTCAAATTAGCGCTGTAGTGTAGACATACCCTTAGATTGGTGAGAACTTTTTGAAGCTCTTCACAGCCTGCTTTGGTCTTAACTATCTTGAGCAGTTTGATGTCAACTGCAAATTTTGCCACCTCAGGCTATGTTTACACTGCAACGTTTTTGAGTAAAAACCTTTGGAGCATCCACACCTCAAATGTGATTTTGCACAGGGAAATCCAGAGTAAAACAGCAGAAAAGAAGGCTTTTTCTGACATAGGTAGACCTCCTTTTACGAGGCATAACTCCCTTTTGCGCAAGAGTTCTTGCACAAAAAGGCAAGCGTGGACGCTCCAGAGGGGCCTCTTGCACAAGAAACCCCTAAAGGAAAAAGCACGAGTGCTCTGATGGTCATTCTGTGCATGGCCATCAGAGCTTCCTTGCACAAGAGCGTCCATGCATTGTGGACGATGTGCTTTTGCTCAAGAGAGAGTTCACACTGCATGGACACTCTCTTACGCAAAAGCACAGTGTTTTTGTGATGTACTTTGAGGTGTGAACATGCTCTTGTGCAAGAAGTTTTTGCAGAAAAGCTCTTGCGGAAAAGGCTTCTTGCACAAGAAGCATGTAGTGTAGACATAGCCTCACTGTGATCATTTATAAATAGGTTGAAAGGGATGGATCCCAGGACAGATCCTTGGGGAAGCCCGCTAGCTGCCTCTCTCCACTCTGAAAACTGACCATTTATTCCTACCCTTTGTTTCCTATCTTTTAACCAGTTATCAGTCCATAAAAGGCTCTTCCTTCTTAACCCATGAGAGCTAACTTTACTTAAGAGCCTTTGGTGAGGGACCTTGTTAAAGACATTCTGGAAATCTAAGTACACTACATCCACGGGATCCTCCTTGTCCACTTGTTTGCCTAACTAGCAGATTAGTAAGGCAGGATTTCCCTTTATAGATACCATGTTGACTTTCCCCCAACAAATTATGTTTATCTGTGTGTCTGACAATTTTATTCTTTTTTATAGTTTCAACTAATTTGCTCAGTACTGACGTTAGACTTACTGGTCTCTAATCTAGAAGATCGCTTGTAGATCCCATTTAAATATTAGCATCACTTTAGCTATCTTCCAGGCAGTAGGTACAAAAGCTAATTTAAAGGATAGCTTACACACCACAGTTAATAGTTCCGCAATTTCACATTTGAGTTTTTTCAGAACTCTTGGGTGAATGTCATCTGGTCCCGGTGACTTGTTACTGTTCAGTTTATCAATTTGTTCCAAAACCTCTTCTAATGACACCTCACTCTGGGACAATTCTTCAGATTTGTCACCTAAAAAGAATAGCTCAGATTTGGGAATTTCCTCAATAGCCTCAATAATAAAGATGAAGCATCTCCACAATGTCTTTGAGATGCTAAAGGAGCACTCAAAGATATACATTTTGCTATTACTTTTTGAGTTTTTGGCTAGCTGTTCTTCAAACTCCTTTTTGGCTTTTCTCTTATTGTATTTTTACACTTGATTTGACAAAGTTTATGCTCCTTTCTATTTTCCTCACTAGGATTTGACTTCCACTTTTTAAACAATGCCTTTTTACCTGTGCTTCTTTTACTTAAATGTATACCCCAAATTAAAAAACTCAAGGAGAACCAAAAAAGTGTCACTGTGGCTTAACAACTAAGTTGGGCCTCTGTTATGGTGTCTTTGAAAAGTTTCCATGCAGCTTGCAGAGATTTTACATTTCTCACTGTACCTTTTAATTTCTGTTTAACTAACTTCCTTGTTTTTGTGTAGTTCCCCTTTCTGAAATTAAATGCCATGGTGTTGGGCTGCTGAGGTGTTTTTCCCACCACAGGGATGTTAAATTTTATTACATTATGGTCACTATTTCCAAGCGGTCCGGTTATATTCACTTCTTGAACCAGATCCTGTGCTCTACTTAGGCCTGAATGAAGAATAGCTTCTCCCCTTGTGGGTTTCAGAGCCAGCTGCTCCAAGAAGCCGTCAATTAAGGTATCAAGAAATTTAATCTCTGCATCCCTTCCTGAAGTGATGTGTGCCCAGTCAATATGGGGATAGTTGAAATTCCCCAACTATTATTGAGTTTTTTATTTTGATAGCTTCTCTAATCCCCTTTAGTAATTCCATGCTCCAAAAATAAGAATATAGCAGTAGAGATATATTACCGACCACCTGATCAGGACAGTGATAGTGACTATGAAATACTATCTGTAGAGATTCTATGGAACATTTTGGCTCATTTAAAATTTTTACTTCATTTGGTTCTACATTTTCTTTCACATACATTGCCACTCCCCACTTGCACAACCTGTTCTGTCCTTCCAATATATTTTGTACTCTGGTATGACTGTGTCCCATTGATTGTTTTCATTCCACTAAGTTTCTGTGATGCCTACTATATCAATATCCTCCTTTAAAACTAGGCACTCTAGTTCACCCGTTTTATTATTTAGACTTCTAGCATTTGTGTATAAGTACTTTAAAAATGTGTCACTATTTCTCTGTCTGCCATTTGCTGATGTGTTAGACTCTTTTTCTTTTGATTGTGTCTCATCTGATCTGACCCATACGTCCATCCTCCCTTCCTGACTAGAACTTAGAGCATCTCTATTACTAGACCCTCCCCTAAGAGATGTCTCTGTCTGATCCTTATGGTCCTCCATACCCATCAGCTTTCCCCCAGCCCTTAGTTTAAAAACTGCTTTGCAACCTTTATAATGTTAAGTGCCAGCAGTCTGGTTCCATTTAGTTTAGATGGAGCCCATCCTTCCTGTATAGGCCGCTCCTATCCCAAAAGTTTCCCCAGTTCCTAATAAATCTACACCATCGTCTCATCCCCTCATTGAGACTCTGAAGCTCTGCCTGCCTACCCAGCCCTGCATTTCAGGAACTGGAAGCATTTCAGAGAATGCCACCATAGAGGTCCTGGATTTCAGTCTCTTTCCTAGCAGCCTAAATTTGGCCTCCAGAACCTCTCTCCTACCCCTCCCCATGTCATTGGTACCTACAGGTACCATGACCACTGGTTCCTCCCCAGCACTACACGTAAGATTATCTAGATGTCTCGAGATCTGAAACCTTCGCACCAGGCAGGCAAGTCACCATACAGTTTTCCCGGTCATCACAAACCCAGCTATCTGTGTTTCTAACGATCGAATCACCCAATATGAACGCCTGCCTTTTCCTAACGACTGGAGTTCCCTCCCCCGGAGATGTATCCTCAGTGTGAGAGGAGACCACAACATCCTCTGGAAGGAGGGTCCCAACTATGGGAAGGTTTCCCTCTGCTCCACTTGACTGTTCTCC